TACTGGACAGTACAGGTCATCTGTACCAGTATTCTGCTCAATTCAATATGTTAATGGCAGGCAAATCTTCATCTCCAAGTGAAGGATTGATGATTAGCTTTCTGTGTATGCCTTTCATCTCGGAGAACTTTCATTAACTCAATTTCTGAGCACTTCTATCCACTTGTTGGTAAATGTTCTGCTGCAAAATCAATTTTTTTTGTGAGTTGGGAAATCATCTAAGCAGTTCAAGTAATTTAGGTAGACATCTAGCATCTAAAACACTAACTAAGGGGTGAATTTTCTGCTAAAATATCAATTTTCTGAGTTGGGAAACAATGTCTGTCCAATTCAAGGAAGTGCGTGGATTATATGGGACATGGATGATTTTTCAGGACATTTAAAGTCACCTAACCTAAATCTGATTCAAGGTTTTTTTCCCCCTAATAAAACAGTGATCAGTTATATCGGAAATGAACCCTAAACAATTGGACCCAACAATCCAAACGAGGAGGGGGACGCCCAAAATTTGTATGGTTTTGTTGTAGATTGCCACATAAACAAACAAACAGCCTTCCAATCAAAATCTACTCAAGAAGCAAGCAACGCTGAAAGAGGAAAGCCGGTTGTTAGAGAGTCAAATGAGTCCCACTTTATTGAAGTATCTTTCTAAACTATCAATCACTGAGGAGACAGACACACAGACGCAGTCCCCCTAATCCAAATGTTTGCAAATAAAAGAGACAACAACAGGCATCTTCCCTTCTTAATTCTCGCAAATCTTTTTTCCCCTTTCCTTCTATATTCTGGTTTTTGCTTTGTGATCCTTTGTCTTCCATTAAATTTCACATATTCCCTGGATAGTCACTTATTTAATAATCACCCACATCATTGACATCTCTTTGCTTCTTCATCCTTGATCGTTAGGTTACAAATTTTGAACTAGCCTATTCTAGATTGTTAAGTTGTAGAGAGTGACATGAATACAATTTACAATTTAATATACTATGCAGAGTTAGTACGATGATTTTATTGTAAATATAGATAATATTTCTTATATTTAAAAATGTCATTTGAAATTAAATTCGTAGAACAACCGTAACACGGACACAATTTATCCAATTAAATAAATTTTGTATTGTGTTTTTTTTTTCTTAATTGATTCATTTCTTAATGCAAACTAACTCTTTGTTAACCCAACGTTCAGTATAAACATATAAATTTAGTTGAAGTTATTAGCATTCCATCAATTATTGAAGCACGCCACCTTCATGAAAGAGACGTTGGATAGTAATAGTAAAGTGCCATTAATACTGTGGAAGGCTAGCTTTAGCCTTCTTCCCATTAACTCTTAGATTCACAGTACAAATTCAAGATATTAAAGATGTTAGGTTAAAGTATATTAGCGGCCTATAGTTGACAAAATACCTTATATTTCAGACCACATTGTTTAAAATCTCACAATATCAACCATTGATTTTTTTTACTTATTGCAATGTCAACCGTCTTATTAAAGAGACAAGTAATGAGGTCTAATATATGATAAAAATTATGCTAAATCTAACAAAGCTAGTGTACAAAAAAAGACAATCACATGTTAAAAAAAAAAAAAAAACATTGAATGTGATTTGGTCGTCTTGTCTTGTCGACGAATAAAGAGGAGAAAATTCGTTGTAATAGGAATTAATGTAGTTTTGGAAAACTCTCACTCCTAATCTCAAGTACATAAATTGCACAGTGCACATTAATTGTTTTGTCTATTAAGGAAACAGAACACAATAATATATAGAAGAGTTGGGTTTAGGATAACAAGTTATTCTCAATAAGTACATTTCATAACTCATAATAAAATATCCCTCTTCGGCTTTTGAAGATTTTCAAAATTTTAACATGAAATTTGAATTTGTAATTTTTTATATCGTCATTTTTTTTTTGTAAAAAAACATGTAAATGAAAATAATAATATTTTGAAAATTTCCTTTTCTATTGCATAAAAATTATTCCCACCTCACGTATTTTTTATCCAAAATTAACAAAAAAAAAAAAATTAAAGTAAAATGATCAATTACTATTCATTATATTATTTGAAACACTCTTCATACGGACTTTTAAACCATTCATTATGACTCGGATGCACTATTCTTTTCATTAAGTAGTTGTTTTTTTTTTTTTTTTTTTAAATATTTTAAAGACATATATTGTGAAAATTTTTATGATATTACACTTTAGTTATTATTTTTAAATTTTGTTTTTAATTTGTAAATATTTTTTGATCACTTTGATCCTTTTTTTTCTCTCTATTTTTTAATTAAAAATTTTAAGGCAAAAAAAGTTTAGAAAAATAATTTACAAAATACGTTTTTAGCTAATAATTCATTGATTTTGATTTTTTTATACTATTATAAATTTTCCAGTTTGAGGATAGAAATAAATAAATAATGTTTCAAAATTTTGTGAAAAATATAAAGAATAATCAAGTCAAATCCAAAATTTTAATTAAAAAATTAAATAAATTTTTATTCAGTTTTGATTTGATATATTTTGATATATGCACAATATAACATGGAATATCAATTTTATATATTTTATCCGATTCGCATGGTAACGCGGGTAAAAAAAAAATCTAGTTTATACTATTAAAAAACCATAATTAGACTTGAAATGTTTTTGGTTGATATTTGCAATATATATATATATATATATATATATAAAAAATAAAAAATTCTTAATAACGATGTCCATATCTTAATTCTTTAAATAAAAAAAAATAATCAATTATATTATCACATGCTTTATAAAAATATATTTAATTAGACGGATAACATTGCAAATAAGCAAGGATGAAAGGTTGGTAATGAAAACTTTAAATTATATTTTGTTCGAAGTAGATCAGGTCTTAGAAGCTACAGTAGAAAGTACATCAAATATCTCTACCAAAGATATTACTAAAATTTATATCTAAGTATAAAAATTTATGTTACCATAAGTGTAACTTGTTATTCCTTACTTTAATGTTATTCTTTCCTTCAAAACAAAGCGGATGTAATAAGGCAGCTGTACTCGTTGGGTATTAATAAAAGTCAAAATCTAACATTGTCTAATTGCTTTTATTAGCTTGCAACTTTTCTTCTTCTTCTTCTTTTTTCATCGAGTTAAATTTGACATAAAAATCAAATATCGAGGTGAAAGCTAATTGCATTAGCTGAAGAGATCCAAAGAGTCTTACTTTATATGGTAACTTCTACCCTTAACGAGATAAGTAACAAAGGGTGATCTTGAACTTTAAATGGTCTTTTACAAAAACCTTAATGAAATTACTACTCTTAGGTTATCATTTACAATATATTGAGTTAGTATATTCATATTTTTTATATATTATTCAAAAAAATTTTATTTATTTTTACATTTTTAATTACATCTCATTTGTCTTCAAAATTTTTTAAAATGTTTTCGATTACAGATTTTTTGACCTAAATATCTTTTTTCAAAATGTAAAAAAAAACAAAAATATTTAAAGTTATATGACATATATGTTTTATTTTTTAGGTCTTTATAATTTTTTTTTCATATTAATTCAGAGATATTTTGATCAAAAATATTTATTTAGCTGAAAGAATTGTTCAAAAAGACAAATTATACATTTTAAGTACTTTTAAAAATAAATGAGATGTAATTAAAAAGCTAAAAACATATATATTTTTTAATGTTATATAAGAATAGATGAATTTATTTATTTCAATTTTTATGGAATCAATCGTGTAATTGTTTACTACTTACTTGCTAAGCCAAACACAGACATGAATCTTGAAAAATGTTTCACGTACATGAAGGATGAAGCCCCATCTCTATTCATCCAAGCGGGATATGAAAAATCTTTTAGTTTATTGTATTAATTAAATACCGTTATTGAAATAATTATATTAATTAAACATATTGTCACTTCATAATGTCATTCATATCATTCAACTTCTATCTTTCATTTTCATTAGACGTGTGATACATAGATAGATATAGATTTTCATAAAAATTGAGGTGTTGATTTGTAAATGATAAATCATGAATTTCAAAAATTTTAAATGATTGACCTTTTATGAAAAATAAACTACGGTCACACATGCATAGAAGAGAATTCATAGAAAAATTTATTTGTATAGCATTAAATTTATAATGTTATATAAACAAAACACCTTTTTTTTTTTAAAAAAGAAAAAATTGCTATACAAAAAGATAAATCATACGAAATTTTCATATACATATACGTGGCTATTAACTTGTTTTTCTAAAAAAAAAAAACTGATTATTTAATTATTCACGAAGCTTATTTACTACCCCCTAATCAAAAAAGATATGATTCAACTTTTATTAATATCTCCGTTCATCAAGAGGTTCCGCATCCAAACCTTTCATTTGTGTAAAAAAAAAAAAAAATACCGCATGAATTTGTATGAAGTTTTTAATAGTTTTTAGAAATATAGGTATAGAATTGAAACATCCATGAAAGTACAGAGATAAAAACATCGTTTACCTTAAACGAGCGAAAGAAATACAAATAGGCAGAAGTTGAAGGACTTTATTGTAAACTAAAATTATCCAATCTCTCACTCCTATCATTCTGTCTCGTCCAAATAAAAAAATTTGCCGAATCCAAAACAACTCACCCACCCATCCTCTTCTCTCTCTCTTCCTACTCCACCGTTCCGTTCCGACCTCTATTAGCCGACAAAAGTCACAGAACCAAAGTCTCCGATTAAAAAAATAAAACACTATTCTATCTCTAAAAGAAAGAAAGAAAGAAAAATAAATAAATAAATAAAGCATCTCAAAAGACTAAAAAAACTCTACGCTAAAAAGCTACACTCCACTCCCCTCACTCACTAACACCATTCCTCCTCCTCCTCCTCCTCCTCCTACCTCCAACTTTGCTTCCTCTTTCTCTCTCTAGGGTTTCACTTTCTATAATGTAGAAAAAGTGAAACCCTAATTCACTCTTGCTTTCACAAGATCTAAAAAAATCATTGTAAATGGGGAATTGTTGCAGATCTCCGGCGGCCGTAGCTAGAGAAGATGTGAAATCGAGCTTCTCCGGTCACGATCACGGCAAGAAAGACAGCACAGCTAAAAAGACACCGCAACCAATCACAGTGCTAACCGGCGTCCCCAAGGAGAATATAGAGGAGCGGTATTTAGTAGATCGTGAACTAGGTCGGGGAGAATTTGGAGTAACATATCTGTGTATAGAACGAGACTCGAGAGAGTTACTTGCGTGTAAGAGTATTTCGAAGAGGAAGTTGAGGACTACTGTGGATATTGAAGATGTGAGACGAGAAGTAGCGATAATGAAGCATTTGCCGAAGAATTCGAGTATTGTGAGTTTGAAAGAAGCATGTGAGGATGATAATGCGGTGCATTTGGTTATGGAGTTGTGTGAAGGAGGCGAATTGTTTGATAGAATTGTTGCTAGAGGTCATTATAATGAAAGAGCGGCCGCGGCGGTTACGAAAACGATCGTTGAGGTTGTGCAATTGTGTCATAAACATGGTGTGATTCATAGGGATTTGAAGCCGGAGAATTTTTTGTTCGCGAATAAGAAAGAGAATTCGCCTTTGAAAGCTATTGATTTTGGCTTGTCTATTTTCTTCAAGCCAGGTGAGAAATAAATTTATTATTAACCGATGATTGGAAAATGGATTGGTAGGGGTTTATGATAGGTAAACAAGCAATGCGGGTGTGTGTGTGTGTTTGTGTGTAACTAATGCATTGATGTAATTATTGGGTGAAAATTGCGATTTAGTAGTGGAAGTATGAAGAGGATGAACAAACGAATATGGAGACGGAAAAAACAGAAAATTTTATGTAGTTTGTTGCTACTTGCTAGGGTAATTAAGTTTTAGTGAAAATGCTGGAATCTTAGTTACTAGAGTGATGAGAATATTTGAGTATCATGCTTTGAAATGGCAGGAAATTCCTCTTAATATTCTGTTTTATAGTCTACATTCAGCGTCATAAGTTTTATGTGAGCTAGTATTTTTATGATGCCCTTTCTGAATACGCTATCATGGTTGCTTTTATAAGAGGATAGGAATGTTATTTTGTTCAAGCACAATTTTATTGTAGAGTTCACATGTAGGATGCTTACAATGTTTAGTGAAGGTTAGGTTTTAGATATGACCATGATGTTGTCCCCATACTCGTCATAGATATTAGGTGCTTACAGGAAGACAACTGCTATTTCAATAAATTGTCACATGCTGGCCCTATGGTGTAAATCATTGAAATTTTCTTTGATCTTGATTATTTGCATATCTGTTTTCTGTATTATGCTGATGTTCTCTACTGCCTATTTTTAAATATTGTAGGCGAGAGGTTCTCAGAAATTGTTGGAAGTCCTTATTACATGGCTCCAGAGGTGCTCAAGCGGAACTATGGGCCAGAAATTGATATATGGAGTGCAGGGGTCATTCTTTACATCTTGTTGTGCGGTGTTCCACCATTTTGGGCTGGTAATTATACTTTTGATTTCTACCCCTCTCTTGTCATTACTCTATGTGCATGCGTTTGTCTGTTGGGGTGAGGGAGGCTGCACCATGTGCTAAGCAACTTCATTCCATCCTCGTATGGTGTCTTCAGTCCCTGCTACAACTATTCTTTCTTCTTTTTGTTTTTTACACTTGCTTTTCATTTTTTTTCCCTGTGCTTTTGTTGAAAGGTGGGTTTGTTTTTCATTTTAGCTTAAACCACATTTTCAATACAGAGTCTGAGCAAGGAGTTGCACAGGCCATTCTTCGTGGGATTATAGATTTCAAACGGGATCCATGGCCAAATATTTCGGAAACTGCTAAGAGTCTAGTGAGGCAAATGTTGGAGCCAGACCCAAAGCTTCGACTAACTGCAAAACAAGTGTTAGGTATTTTATATTTACGGTACTATTATGCATACTACCTCATGATATGCGCATGTTTTTTTGTTTTGTCACTCAGGAATCATTTTGCACTGTTTCTTTGTTTTGGTGGGTAAGTGTGGGGACACGGGGTTGCAAATCCCATCTGCTTTTGGTATGATTTACTGTTTAGGTAGATTGTTTCTTTACTTAAGATTATACCTCATTATAAAGAACATTCACTTGGGCTTAAAGATAAGAGACACAAGAACCTAACTTATTGAATAAATTACAGTTCTGACCCTGTCTATTGCCCCTACAACTTACTTACTTTATTGAGAAAAGTTCTAAAAAGTTACATTTCTGACCTTGTTTAGAAACCCTTTTAACTCACAAGTTATCTTGTTATGTGGATTGTAAAAAAAAAAAATTTGGAACTTGATAGATGAATATGTAACTGGTGCTTTATTGCTTTTTGGATGTGATGACACATCATAGTTTGAAGAACTATGTAAGATATAACGGGGAATGCTACAGTTTCTTCTAGCTTATCAGCCTTAAAAAGTCTTGCTTTAGAACTTCATGATTACCTCTCTATTTGTAATATATGGTACATAATTGTTGCATTCAAGCCTGAAAGCTTTTCTCTAGTTAATATTTTGCATCAGCAACCTTTAGCTGTTCATTCTGTCCATGGAAAAACTCTTGACTATCCAGTTTCTTGGTTTGGTCTAATGGCGTTCTGCATATATCATGATTTTGGTTGTTGTCACATTTGAACATGTGTGATTTATGTTTATTATCACTCACCTACCATTTATTTGTCTACTTATAGAGCATCCTTGGCTCCTAAATGCTAAGAAAGCTCCAAATGTTCCTCTTGGAGATGTTGTCAAGTCAAGACTTAAGCAGTTTTCAATGATGAACAGATTCAAAAGAAAAGCCCTTAGGGTTAGTTTATTATTCCTCTATAGTATTCATATTTCCATCTGATGTTATTTTTTCCCATCTAGAAATAAATAGTTTGGCACTTTTAACTAGGTTATCGCTGATTTCTTATCCACTGAAGAAGTTGAAGACATCAAAGAAATGTTCAAGAAGATGGATACTGATAATGATGGTATCGTTTCAATTGAAGAGTTGAAAACTGGACTTCGAAATTTTGGTTCCCAGCTTGCAGAGTCTGAAGTTCAGATGCTTATTGAAGCTGTGAGTATACTTTATGCTTCTCAGTTTCAAGTTTCATCAAACAGTATCTATACTCCCTTAAAAAATCATGTGTTCACCTTCAACAACCGTACGAGTAGCATGATTGCAATGAATACATCTAAGAGTTCTTTTTTCTTTTATCCACAATGATTTTTTTGTTAATTGAGGGCTGCACCTTTGACAATGGTGAAAGTGTGTTGCAAGAGTGGGCAGGAGGCATTGGCATTTTACACATCATGAGGGTACATCAAGCTGAGTTATCTGACCTGTTACTTAATTTGCCACACTTTAGCATAAATAGTATTCCCAGAAACAATTTTAGTTCTAATATTTTGTTTAGGTGCTGTATCCCCATGCGTGTTCCAGTTGTCTTTCCTGAAACAAACGTAATTACAAGGGTAACCCCACAGTTAAGAGCAGATTTCAGTTCCACCTCCACTCTAAAACTCGCAGTTGAAGCCTCTTTCTCTCAAACGTGTTTTGATGGTGCGACCTTTCTTAATCCTCTGCTATAAGTCCCAATCTTTGAATTTTTTTTTCTTTCAAGAAAAGTAGGGGAAAAATCTGAATTCTTTACTATTATCCCCCTCTTTAAAAGCTTCTGAGTCTTTTCAAGCTAGAATTATTTGCAACCATCCTGCATCCTTTGATTCTGCTAATTTGCTTTTTTCCACATTACCATGCCTTGCATATTTGATCGCAACTTATGTATACATCCTCTCAATAATTCCGCTTCAAAACTCTCCCATCTTCACTCCTTTGGTTTTTCCTTATCATTGTCTCTACCATCCCTTGCTATATGTATTCCCTCTGCTTTCAAAGTCGCTTATGGTAGTTGGCTTCAGTTTCTTATCTTTTTTATCAGGCTGGGTTGTGGTGAATGGGCTTGTAGAGATTCTTGTGCTTGATTGGATCTGTGGGAATTGAGAGATTGGTTAGTGACGGAGTCCTTATTTTGTCTTGATTTCAGACTTTCTCCTGGGGTTTGCAAGTTATAAAGGTGGAGTTCAAAATTTGAGTATCAATTAACTTAACAAGTAGACACAGATATGTTCTGGAGGGCGGCGGGGAAGGCAATCATTTTAGAGATTCCCTCTTTTTTCTTATTTACGTTCTCACATTCCAGCTAAAAAGTTGATCTATTCATGCGAAGGTAAAGAAGGCAATAAAAGAAAATTAACAAGCCACTACGTCATGCTCCGTGTTAGCCTAATATGAGAAAGAACTAACAAGGGAGACATCAAAACAGATGGGAAAGCTTTTGAGGTTTTATTGGAACATTTTAAAGGTCGTGGTTGACATTGAAGTCTACCTGGTCAATGAAGAATATGAGTTTACTTGTTTTTCAATGAAGAATATAAGAGTTTTCACATGCATGCTTGAATTTGTTTGTTCCTTCAAGGTGTTCAATCTTTATAATGTTGGCAATTATAAGAAAGCATTACCGTAGCAAGTGGTTGGGAGGACAGAAAATAGTGTTAGAATTGGGCAGAAGACGAGGAGAAAGGATGAAAAACAATCTCTCTCTCTCTCTCTCTCTCGGTTCTAAGTTAGCTTGATGGACAGGATACAAAAAATTTAGATGACAGGTAACATAGAATAAAACTCATCTAATTCCTGTCTTTTCGCCCAATCCTTCCAATGTAAATGGGTTGAATACTGTCAGAATCAAGGTAAGGATTGAATTCATCCATTCTTTACTGGATATGGATTCACCCAAAAAAATGAGTTGAGCATTGCTTCTGTCCCAAGCCCATTCTTCTTTACTCATCATCCTCGTTGCTTTTGTTAAGCAAACATAGTGTTAAGAACAGTTTTATATCTATTGTTTATTAGTTTCTTTTGGTTTTGAATGGACTTCTTGTTTGCTAACAGGTAGATGCTAATGGGAAAGTTGAACTAGACTATGGGGAGTTTCTTGCTGTTTCCCTTCATCTCCAAAGGATGGCCAATGATGAGCATATTCACAAGGCATTCTCCTACTTTGACAAGGATGGAAATGGTTACATCGAACCAGATGAGCTCCGGGATGCCCTGATGGAAGATGGAGCAGATGATTGTACAGATGTGGCAAATGACATATTCCAAGAAGTAGACAGTGACAAGGTGAAGAGCCAATGCTAAATTTATGTACGAATTTTGATTCAGCAGATTTCAGTTTCACATCAATGTCCTATGAATGCAGGATGGAAGAATCAGCTATGATGAATTTGTCGCCATGATGAAAACTGGAACAGATTGGAGGAAAGCTTCCCGTCATTACTCTAGAGGGAGATTCAACAGTCTAAGCATGAAGCTCATGAAGGATGGTTCACTAAACTTGGGGAGTGAGTAACATATACACGAGGCCTATGCTTAATTTATCCTTGCAAAGAAAGTAGTAATGGGTCATCACCATGCATCTTAGAGTTGCTTTCTTTTGTGATTATTTGATCGGGCCGTCTTGATTAGGTGTGACCCTTTTGCTTGTGGCCTTACAAGGATCATGGAGGCTGAGTACATCTTATCTGTCTGCAAAATGTTAATCGTGTAAAAATGATGACTGGTACCACGTTACAGGATGTATGATCCCTTCCTTTTTTTTTTTTAACCACTTTTAACCTTTGGTAATTGTTTCTTGTCGACAATGAGGTGAGCTCTGTAGGGCTGTAGTATATTCTTCTAAAAGGAAATGTATTGTATTTGTTCTGGGCTTCAATTTTTGACACCTTTTCTTTTGCTCAAAAAACAGAAGATGTGCATACTCATAGTTACAGTTGCCTGCACGCACAGATGCGGTGTGTACCATTGCACGGTGGTTTCAGCTTTTGCCTGCCTTTTTTTTTTTTTTATTTACTTTCCAGTTTTATTTGTGGCAAAGGTAACTTCGGCTTAAATTATGCTGTGTACTGCGCATCATACATGAAAATAGTGAAGTGTTCGCTACCAAAACTACGTTTAATGCTAGTAAAAGGAATTAACTTTTAGATGGGTCATATTTTCATTCAATTTTGGTCACCAAAATTTATGCCTAAGAGCATGTATAGACAAAATTGCCAATTAGGATTGATTTGTTTATTGATGTTACTAAAAATAAAAAAAATGTGATTTTACTGTCGGTAGTGAGCATTCGGATAATTTTAAATGAAAAATTGTCCGAATTTGGGTTATTTGACAAACGGTTCGGATAATCCAATTTGCTTTGAATTTTTTCTATCCATTATCCTATTAATTTTATTTTGCCTAAATTATTGAGAAAAAAATTACATTTAACTGGCTAAAATTAGATTCACGGAAAGTTTAGGAAAGTTTTGATTAGCCAGAACTAGGTCCAATGAAAATTACAAACCCAACGGTTTTTAAAATTTATAAACAAGAAAAACAAAAAATATAATTTGTAATCCAATTTTTTTCCTTATTATCCGAATTATCTAAAAAAAATATTTCAAGTATTTTTTTTAGTAATTATCCGAACTACCCTTTTCAGCTTCTCAGCTTCTCTGTCTTCATCTTTGCTATGTGCTCCATTCTTAACTTCATGGGTTTATACTGCGTACTGAAGGAATTGGAAGAAGACACAAACGATATACAGTTATGGTGCCTACATTCTATAAGAAAATTAGTCCAAATAATAGCCGTCCCAAACCACAACCATTAATTGTCTTAATTCCGTGAAAAACCCCATGGCGTATCAATAAAATAGAAGAAGAAAAAGAAGAAATGTATACTAAAAGTCAATCAATCTGTATTTTTAAAATTAATTACCTTATGCAAAACGAAAGAAAATGAAAATTTTCAATAATATAGATAAAAAATTATTTTAATAGCTGTAGCCAAAAAACATATAATTATTGCTTCGCAAAATTGAACTTGAGTTGATTAGATTTATAAAATAGTTTAATAGTTGATAAAAAATAAAACGTATTTTGATACTGATTTAGCTTAAAAAATTAAATTGATGCAATATATATATGTGTTTTCTAACATAGAGTATTTGATTATTTATAAGGTTGTCGCCTATCCCAGAGGGCTTGAACCTCTTTAAATCAGCCACTGTATTTTCTTTCCGAATAATATAATTAAAGGAGACATGATCCAAAGAATTAATTTGAACATCAAGAGAGTTAAATAAATTTTGAAGCCACCAAGGTCAAGCAGAATCCTCCTTACTTTCCAATTAATCAACTTCAAAGATATATTATGTTGTAATTATCAATTACAAAGTCAATATCTAATTAATCTAATTTTACCAAGCTCGATTTACTTGCGGTGCTATTCTTTCAATCTACTTTTAACTATATATATAAAACAAGCACATGAGGGTTTGTATTATTTTAATGGGTCTCGTGACTCATGAGCATTGGCACACCATGCTTTCCATGCCATGATATGCTGAGCACATTTCGTGTCTTACTTTTGTTTTATGGCATGGGGTTAAAAATCGATGGAAAAAAAGAAGAAAAAATCAACTTATAATCATACTTTTGTGGCATGATTTTGCTGAGTAAATCATACATAAAGTTAGGGATATATACAAAGGATAAGTAGCTATCCCATTGTACCAAAGGTTTGAACTAGAAGGAAAAACCAGAAAAATATGGCATTTTTTTTATTGCTACTTACAGACTGTGCTAAAATTACTGCCCCCTTATATTCCTCGCATTTTAATCATGTTTTTGTCCCATTATACCTCCTTCTTAGCCTCTAAGATTTCTTCATCTCGGACCTAAAATATGATATATATATATATATATATATATATATATATATATATATGTGCTTCTATGATTGACCAATGCAAAACTTAAGCTGTGCCTAACAAGGCTCTAAGCTCATGAAAACATAAGAAGTATACTAGGCTCGGAGTGTTCCATTACTTGTTTATATATATATATATATATATATATATATATATAAACAAGTAATGGAACACTCCGCGCCTAGTATACTTCTTATGTTTTCATGAGCTTAGAGCCTTGCATTGGTCAATCATATAGGCACAGCTTAAGTTTTGCATTGGTCAATCATAGAAGCACGCTCAAGAAATTAGAAAGGCCAAATTATTGATCACTTTCTTTATCACTTACCTCTTTGTCTCAATGTGCCCAAATTTGCTGTTTAATTACTATAGTAAATATTTGGACCATTAGTATATCGGGATTTGTTTCAAATTACAATGCTAAGGGATAAGAAATAAATAATGTTTGTTTGTAAGGATCAAACTAAATTTATTTTTTGAGAGAGCCAATTTTCTATATTTGAAGAGCTAATAGCATCTCCAATTGCTCTTTTTATATTAAGATTTTTCTTTATAATATTGAGGCTTGTTTCAAATTCCATCTTCAATGTTCTCTTTATCATAATCTCTATCTTTAAAAGTGAGATACATAGTGTTTTTTGCTCTCCAATATTACGAGTCCAAATGACTATTTATCTTATATTTCATTAATGAAAATTATTATTTTCTATACCACTCAGCCTCTTCATCAATAGTCTATTTAGGTTATTTGTCAAAATTAAATGTTTTATGGATTTTGTCAAAATAAAGAGTTAAAATAGAAAGTAGCATTGAAAATGACATTGATCTTCAATCTATATAATTAATGATGCTTTTTATTTACATTACAAATGCTAGCTAAAAGTAGAGAACACCATTGGAGATGTTCTAAAACATGTTAAGAAAGAAATCTTTTAACATTTTAATTTTTAGGGATTAAATTAGAATTATCTAAAGAAAAGAGACTAAATATACTATATTATTAAATAGGAGGATGCGAACTTTTTAAACCTTGGCTCTTGGGGGCCAGGGCCACCTCTGCCTCCTTTGTTTTTGTCACTTCACATTACCCACGCATGAGATGAGAGGTCGCTTTTTCCTTTTTATTTGTATTTTTTGGAACCATTAACTTTCGCTCAATCTTTCTTGTCTAAAATGTGTGTAAATACGATATCAAGTGGTTTGATCGTTAGTAAATCGCAAGTCTTGAAAACCATGGCAGAGTGGTCAATTATCAATATCTCATTCTTCATGTGGCACTGACTTTTGTTACGCATGAATTGAAAATTCAGTAATGGACCATTTTGATGACATGCCCATCACTAGCTTTAGCTATTGATCGAGACTAGACATTCTTCCTCCAAAATCCAACTTCATTTTTCATGATGAAATACATATTCATAGTTTCTATCTTATTTTAATATAAGCCATTAAGAGTCCATGTAAGCTGAAAAAAAAAAAAAGAAGAACAAAAAATAAAAAGAAAGAGTACCCCAACATGATAAACTTGAAAGTTCTTATAATAATTTTTCTGCATTTGATCCTTTGATTCTAATTAATATTATTTCTTATTTTTTTCTTTCTATTTTCTTTTACAAAAGTAAATATAAAAATATATATTCGTACTCATTATACCTAGAATGACGAGAAAATATTCAAAGACTCTATTGATCCACTTTTAGAAAGAGAAATAGACAAAAAAAAAAAAAAACAAGAATTATATTCGTACTTATTAAAAGAAATAAGAATATTTTCACATAATTTTAATTTTTTTTTAAATTTTCTGTTTCATATTTCTCTCTTATTTTTGTGTTTTTTTTTCTTATAAAATAAGTATTAATAATTACTCTTAGAATAATATAAAATTTCTCATCAAGCAATCAATAAGGCTCCTAAGACTAGGAGTTATGGGTAAGGAGGATTTGTAAGCCCAATTTTTTAAAGCAACTATCCTTATATTTAAGAATGTTTTTAATTAGACGCTCTCCAAAATTTAGGGGTGACTATTATCCAGTTTAAATTGAAAAACTAAACTGAACATCAATATCAATCCCGATTAGTTTTTTAACTCAAAATAAAGAAAAAACTGAATCAAAATTTTTGTGGCCTTTTGGTTTGGTTCGATTTAAAAATTTTTTGGTTTAGTTTAAATCGAAAACTAATTTTTTATATATATATTTTTCTGATTTTTAAGTTTTAAAATAATAAAAATAAACTTAAAAAATCAATACCTTGATGGTATTTTTAGTATATTAAAATTATTTTAAAATTAAAAAATTTTTTAAAAATAAAATTTTGTTTTTGAAAAAAAAAAACTATAAAGTAATTTGGTTCGAATTCGATTTTTGTTTTTTTTAGGTTTGATTGATTTAATATCAAACTGAAATTGTTAAAAACTGAAAACCAAATGATTACACTCACTAAAATATCTAATTTATTATACATGTATAACTCCTTTCTTTCAGTTCAATAACTTCACGTTCATCTTTATATATTGTTTTTCATATTTTCCTCATTTATTTATTTCTATCTTAGCTATTGCTGGAGACCACTAGCCAGCTAAACGGATCTTCTTCTAA